GAATTTATTCTGGTTATTTTGAATGTACAGAATGTACGATTTACAAATTTGTTTAGTTTTTTGTAAGGTGTGGTACATATCAGCCGGTTTGCGTTTTATATTTCTCGTTCATTACCGAATTGTTGTTGGTAGGCATAGCTCTGCTCTCGTGGTGAAAATCGTGATTTCAACTCTAGCAGTGATGCAGACATCCCATCTGCAGTTCATTTCTTTGTTTTTAGTGGAAAATTGGTACTGGCATATGCTAAGAACTCGAAACTGTTATAAGTTTGTTTTTAAGTCGCATTCAAAAGCGGACCACCGAAAGTCTTGCCAGCGATTGGTTGCTACTAGTACATGCTACCACCACTGGGGCTACTTCCCGAATGCCTTCTATCTCTCACAGAGAATGAATATGGAGGGAGTTTTGATTCTTTTTTTGACTGGTATGCTGTGATATTGCATAATCGCCACTTTGTACTTACTGTGTGCTGTGTAAGTTTTTTCTCTACAGTTGATGGTACTGTTAGTTGTTAGTTACTCGTCATTCCGAAGCATACTTTGCAAAGCAAGAGTGATTTACTAGGGGAATAAGCTTAAAGAGGCTTCAGAAATTTTTTTACTTCATGTCGCTTTCAAACTGTGTTACCCGCCGGTGAACTTTGAGCCACCGCCGCATCAGTTCTTTCCAGTATGATATTTCGAAAACTGTGTATAATTTTGTACATTTATATATATTTTTTTGTCATTTCTGTTCCAATCTTCTCATGCCTTTCCTCTTGCCAGTAAGTTTCATCGCTTGAATCTATCAGTTGCATCATGTGGATTCTAACAACGAAACAGCTCTCTTTGCCTTGCTCTTTGCTTTTTTTTTGACGTTTCAGGAACTCCGTTTTACCCCCGTTTCTACTTTTCTATATTTTGTGCCTTATGAATTTTAAATTATAAGTTCGGAATAGCTGGGAGCTGTTCTACAATGTGATCATGGTATGAAACCGTTTCGAATTTCGTTTTTCATATGTCAGATTTGTTGTTTGAACTGTCCCATCTGTGATATTTGATGTATGAGCCTCCGACTGTTTATTATAATTTTTTTCCTTTTTTTTCGATTTTATTTTCAGCGAAATTTGAATCTTTTCACTTAAAATTTCTTCGAATTAAAAGTTATTCAATTTTTATTCGCGGTATTCTTGTTTGTGAAGGTTTCCATGCCTTTTATACTGGACTGTTGTAATACAAAGAGGTTGAAGGATTTTTGCCTTCTGCTATTGGCTTGCTTTTAAGCAACCCTCAGAAAAGCTGTTTCTTTGTGCTTCAGTTTTTAGTAAAGAGTGAATGTGAAGAAGGTTTTGACTTTTGGCCTTCAGATTTTTCTTTTTATCCGTTGTTTATTGAGTTCTTTGGTCTCAACTGCAGCGGTGCTCCTTTCGGAAAAAAAATATTGAATTCAGACTCAACCGCGCCTTTGGCA